CACAACATTAAAAAAGGAGGGTCCCCTGAACGACTGTAGCATGGGTTGGACATGCACAGGAGGGGGACAGGAAGGGGTGATAAAGGGACAGTCACTGGTGTGCGAACGGTCTCAGTCGTACAAAATTATACCTAAATAAAGACAGGTATATGAACACCGCCGCATCCAGCGCCCGGCCAAAAGACGCCAGACCGCAGAAACTCACCTGGCGAATGGTGGCTCGAACTTGACACGACTCAACCGTGCCCAGAAGAACTTGGGAGCACCGCCAGGTGAAGACGCCAGAGCCGGACCCGCAGGAGAACAGGGAGAGGCGAAGGAGGCGGTCCACACCCATGACACAGAAAACCGCGGTGTCCTCCCCACAACTGGGAACCAGGACACCCCTGGCGCAAAGGGGCACATACCGCAGCCAGGGAGAAGAACGAGAGGCGAAGCACTGTAGCAAAAAAGGGCGCAAAACCCCAGCACTGAACCATCGCCCAGACCAAAACAAACTCCACGGCGCATGCGCATGACACGCTAGCCGAACCGCACACCCTCCCTGCGGGAAGGCGCCAGCCAGGACTATTGCACGAGAAAAAGAGCCAAAAGAGGAAGCAGGAACAAGAAAACCGGCCAAAGAAGCAAAGAGCCCAAAAAAAGGGAACCCAAACGGGCGACAAGTAGCCCAAACGGGCGACAAGTAGCCCAAACGGCCGACAAGTAGCCCAACCGGGCGACAAGTAGCCCAACCGGGCGACAAGTAGCCCAACAGGGCGACAAGTAGCCCAACAGGGCGACAAGTAGCCCAACAGGGCGACAAGTAGCCCAACAGGGCGACAAGTACTAGGAGCCGACAGACGTTCCAATAATGCGGGAAGTAGCGAAAAACCTTCCCGTACCCTCGAGAACACAGAAGCCAACACTAGTCCCGAAGGCACACGAAGGCGCAGGCGCACCCGAGATCAAAAGTCACGCAGAACCCCATCGAACGGGGAAACATGACAAAAACACCGTCCCAAAAAGCGGGGGAGGAAACATCCACCCACAGGACGGAACCAACCGACTCAAAGGCCAAGGAACCGAGCCCGGGGAGGGGCCGACGTCCAACAGCACGTACGGCGAGTGGGGAGGAAAAACCCCACTCCGCGTAACCACAAGCCCCGCCTAGAGGGGGATAAAACCCCCCACGGGGTCTAACGGGGCCAAGGCCCCCCAAGTCAGCCCCTCCCCAGCCCCGGGAACCTACACGACAGGCCCCGGGGCCGAGCCGTTCCCCCAAAGCCCCGGCCGTACCAGAAAACCGGGGCAGCCGTGAAAACACTAAGGAAGGGAGCCCACTGGCAGACTCATACAACACGGCTGGAGGAACAGGCCCAAATGCCCCCGTCACTACCCCGGAAGGGGAATTCCCCGAGACTGCCCGAGTCTCAACACCACCAAACACCCCGCCCTGAACCTACAGACGGTAAGGAACCGGATGCAGGCAGGAAGGGTGAACCAGGGGAAAAACGAAATACAACGGGGCAGCCCCGGGGCTCCCGGGGAGGAAACCACGAGAACGTTGCCACCACCAAGGCTCAAGTGCAACGCCCCTGCTGCCCGCACCCGCTTTGTTAGCACAACTGGGTAACCGAGCCACAACGAGCAACCAAACTCGCAGGACACCGGGTCGAAGGTGTCACCGACCCCACAGGCAGCAGACGGAGGCAAAACAGAGAGTCACCCAGAGACAAAAGGTGAGAGCAACCCTCAAACTCGCTGGAAGCGAGGGGGGGGCTCTGGGGTCACATCCATCGGACCCGCGCGCCCCCAGGGGTTTCCCAGGGTCCCGAGCGTTTACTTTAAGAGGACTCGCGCTCAGGTAATCCCAGGCAGGGTACTGCTAACCGGCACCCAAGCTACCAAACAACTTTCTAAGAGCTGAACCCCCGGGACGTGTACACTCACGGGGACCTAGCAGGGGGTACCCCCAGAAATACTCAGAACACAAGGGACACAAGGGGCAAGAACGAAGGCAGACCCCCCCACCAGGTATATAAACAAAAGAAAAAGAAAACCCCGCAAGAGGACAGCGTACCCAAGCGGAACAGAGCCGGCCGCTATGATTGGTAAAGACAAGCTGCACAGTACCCCGCGCCCCACCAGTGCAAACACTGCCCCTTACTCTAAGGCGAACAAGGGAGACAGAACACCCGAGCACACAAAGAGCGGCCGAAAACCAAGCGGTAAACGGCCAAGCAGGGGCAGGACCCAAGGAACTTGTGGAAGGTGGCCCCAAGCCCCAAGGGCAGTACTTACAGGGCACCTAGGGAAGGGAACCCTAGGCGCATGCAGCCCGAGTACTGAAGAATCACACCCGGCTCACGCACCACCTAGAAAACAGACACCACACTCTAGGTACAGTGCTGAAACAACCACTGGAGCCGGAGCACATAACCATTGCCTATAGCATCAGCCGAAGAACTGATGGGTGGATAGCCGGCGTGGGAGGTCTGGGGCTCCCCCTTCCCCCTCCCGGGGAGGGGGGAGCTGCGCAGACAGCGGCGCGGTGACGTATGACGTCATACTAGTTTCCGTGTTTTCTGTTGAAGAGTTCTATTCACTAGTTCGGCTTAGGTAGCAATTTTCACCAGAATAGGGGTTTGTTTTGGAATGCTTACCTTTCTGGATGCTTGACCCGGTCGATGGCAGACATAGAATGCTTCCAACCACACGGGGGTTTCTATAGGCCATTGCTCCCCTTGCCTCTCTGAGGGGGCCAGGTTCTGGCTCGTGGTCCCCGGTAGGCCCTAGAACTCCATACACATGACTGATGCCAAAGTCTGACATTAGCATATCAGCCGGTAAAGCTCCGGGGAGCCGACGGGGCTCCCCCCAGAAAAGTAGCTTACTCATTTATAAACAATTTAATACAAAGTAAAATGATGCATTAATTACACAAGCAGTAAGCTATATGCATTAAAGAATTTCATGATTAATTAATCTGTATCTAACAGTAAACTCCCAAAACTGGACTTTTTTTTATCTATGATTAACAGTTTTTTTATTTAACTGTAAATCATTATATTTTATTGGAAATAATACCAATCCAACTCAATCAGGACACCTCATGTGCTCCAGAACATGTACCTTAAATTATGACAATTTCTATTAACTTAGTTTGGAAGAGAGAGAGAACACTGTTTTGTACAGCAATGTTGAGCATACGATATTTGCCTATACAGTACACTACAATACAGGTATATAATGAAGTATAGCACTGTATAATGAAGTAAAAGTAATAACTTCTTTTAACCTGCTAATATATAACCTGTTATTATTATTATTATTATTATTACTATTATTATTATTATGTTATTAACTACTACAGAGGGTAAATCATAAAAACGTGAATGAAAATTCAAACACGCAACACATATCTGAAAGATAAGTGATGACGTATGTCTTCACTTTTACTTTTCTTTTAGTCAATGTTGGTCTAGCTGGGACCGACTTGATAACTGTGTAGGAAGTACTGAGACTTCATCAATTCCTTTATTTATTTATGAAGTGTGGGTTTAATGTTTTAATAGTCCTACAAATTTTGCTCTATAAAATTCCTTTACTTTTGATTTATATCTGAAATGATATAAAATACCAATATATCTTGTATCATCTCTTTTTAGCTACATAGCATGGCATACTTTTAGGCAATTAGATCAAGTTTGAGCCTTGATGAAACACAATGAAATGATCCTTGACCAGGTCAGGTAATACCTAATCAATCTGTGATATGGTAGATTCATTTCTGCATGATGTTAAGGAAGTTATTCTGTAATCTATGGATGCTTGTAATGTAAATAATGAATCACACAAAGTTTTCTTTCATTCATGCACTGAAAGTAATGAAACTCCAATTTCCGGGCAAGCCCCGGTGGCTCCTTGTGCAGTACCAAACAAAGTTAGGTACAAGTAGCCATCAGTCACTGAGTTTTCTGGCCTACCAGTTACCCAGAGCCAGAACCTGATTTCATCACACAGGTGCAGGGAGCAGTAGCATTTACTATACCCTTTTATAGAACTCCACAAGGGAAGACACCCAGAAAGTCAGTGAGACAAAAAACACAGCTGTCTACTTCCTATACCTGCACTTGCAATAGCCAAAGAACTCCCTAAACTAGATACTGTACATCAACAGACTCTAGTACTGCAACGAACAACACCCCATGTCGCCATTGTTCTTCATCACAGTTAACTACAGAAAAAATACAGTGCTAAGCCCACTAAGTGTGCTATAGAAAATTAATTTTTTAACCTTACTAGTGTCTGTAAATGTTTTTTTTTGTATATCATACATGCTGCTGCAGTGTATCTTTTTGACATTTAAATATAGCAAATGAACATAATTATAAGTGCTTGTGTGGCTATAGATTATTTATAAAGGTATCTGCTGTCAACAATATTCAGCAAACTGGTCTATGCATGTTATGAGTAATCATTGGAGGATTTCTCTTTAGTCCTGTGAATATACTGTACAGTTTGGCAGTGATAAAAGTGCAACCAAATCTAGAACCATCAAAATAGTCCATTACTCAAAACTGAAGTTATAAATGTAATAATATAGAAGCCCCTTAGTGAGCTCTTCCTTGGCCATAGTTAACATGCCACAATGTAATTAGTTACCAAGCTCACACACATGAAAAGAATGACTTTTGGTCCATGAAAAAAAAAAAAAAAAACTCTTGAAAAAGTTGTGTAACAAGATCTAGGATGGGTCAAAATGATCGACTTGAGAATGGTCCAGGAACGAACTGAAACGTCGTCGTCCCTTCACTTTCTAGTGTGTGATTTGGCCAACAATATTGCTTTAATTTCTTTACCTGTGTGGATTGGATTATTAGTTTTTAGTCATATTACTGAGACATTCTCTAGCATGTGAAATCTCATCCGAGTTTTAGGCAGCCTTATTCAACAGATGATTACAATTAAAAATCAATAGTATGGTATTAATAAATCTGGGAAATAAGACACTGATATAATCTAAAAGTTTTTAATAAAAATCAAATGTACATGTTCTTAACATGGTCAGCCCATATTAATTATTACATAGTATGCTATGGTGAAGCAGTGGTAGGTAGCATTGCCAGGTTAACAAAAATATAAGGAAAAATGTTTCCTCTAAAATAGCAACCGCCCTGTGCTTCTCCACATAAATTTAGTAACCTCTTATATACATTATGTACAGGTGTGGATACATTGTACAGCCAGTCACGCAGGTGGGTTAAGTGGTCAGGTTGCCACAGTAAATAAATGATGTGCTACCTCTCGCCTACACAAGCAATCCAGGATGTGTTGGGCTTAATCCAGGATCCTACAGTGATGGCAAGAGGGTATGCTCACTTGTAAATGCACAATATCCTGACATAAGACAGAAACAACACATGTGATTAGCCATTTCTATAGCCTCAAATGGCACACTTCAATATGGTTCACTTCGCAAGCTTGCACGCAATATTTAAAAAAGGAGCCATATTGAAGTTCAGGGGTAAAGCTCATCATTGCAATATTCTTACAAATAACCAGAACACCCGGCATATAATATAAGCAATGCTTGCTTCTGTCTCTGGAGTATATTGGAAAGAAAATGCAATTAACAGTCACTCAATGCTTACACATGTATACTATTAACTTAAAATGACAATCATTCTACAGTTCATACTTGTTATCCCCATTTTAGCCAAGTGATGATGATACCCCTACCTTCCTTAGCTCACATTTGTAATGTTAAACTTGAATATCATACATAACCAGTTACAAAAGGCATAATTCCTGATGACAAAGCATATCATTGTACCAGTGACATTTCAAGGTCACACTAACCTTATAGTCCCGTCACTGAAGTCACTGCCAACCTCCTAACCTGACACTAATTAGATATCCATACTACATTGCTAACAACCATGCCATCAGCTTTCACACAGTCCTCTTCTTTTCCATGGCTTAACTCTATAACCATTGGAAGTATCACATTAGATTCATATTTAAAGTTAAACTTTATATGCTACAGGTCAAAATCCTACCTCAAATGACCCTGTATTATCACCTTATGAGGCACTTTTGCACATTTTGGTCCCATCCCTTCCCACAATATTTTTCTGTAACCTGGCTCCAAAATCTCAAGCAACCTATACAGTACTCGCTTCTGACATTAAGAATAAAAATAAAATATATATATATATAAAAATAATGAAAGGTGTTGAAATAACTTTGGAAAATCACTATCATAATTTTATACCAAGTATTCAAGCCAAAAATCACAGAAATGGTGTGATAACTCAATCCTGGGTCAGCCATTTTCCCCCCACCTTGCGAGTAAATTTCAGACTTTTTCCATCACTCCCATTGGAGCAAAGAAAGACTTATTTTACCAGCTATATAGGATTACTGAACTTTTGCCAATGCTTTGAAAACATTCCTCACAATAATAAATAGCCTTGTTGCACAGTACAATTATGTGCAAATATATAGTAATATAACAATACTCATTAAATTATAAGAAAAGCTGTATCAAATTACTATTTTAGCAACAATTGTTATTTGAATGCCAGATTTCCCTATTTACTTAAAAAATAAACTAAGACTTTTGATTGTCATGTAACTGGTTGGTTATCTTTTGAAAGGAGTCATGTGTAGTATTTTTATACAATAATTTCAGAATAAATCAATAACTAATGTATTAAACCACCCAAAAATTAATTTAAATTAAAATAAATGATAATGGAGGGCTTTCGATAAATCATACGTAAAAATCTGTAATAACGCTTAGGCACTTCCTGGCAAAATACAGTTTACTGATATTAGGCCAACTATGGTACCCTCATATTATTATAATGTCAACACTTTATGTTCTGTACAAACAATAGATTCCAATACTTTAAAGCATTTTAAATGTCTGAGTATTTGAGTAAAAACAGAACCACATTCACAATTATTACTATGACAACTGGAGAAATTTGGGATTTGTTGGCATTAGGCACTTCTCAATAAATAAAACAAGACTTGCTGTTGACAAAGATGTTTCCACATATGAGAATTATAATCCATTATAAACTAAATGGCACATAGAGTAGTTTCATTTACTGCATGCATGCTTTCTTCAGTCACATGATGGTAAATATTGTACATAAAGAGAAGTGTTGATTTTTGCAAAACTAGCAAAATATTCTGCATGCTTGAAATTTTTTGTTTAAGTGTGCATACAGCCGAAGAATAGGGGAAGGTATAAAAAACACTATATGAGGGCACCAGGGTTTGCTAGGAAGCCATTTGTACTTCAATAAAGTGAAAGATCCTTTTTCCTAAGTAGCACCTTGAGGACATGGACTCTAGTGTGCACAAGTCCATGTGTGGCTAATATGCCACATGCAGTCAGCATAGACTAGTAGCATATTACATACTTTGCTGCAAATGGAACTTTATCCAAAGGGCAAGCTTTTTTTTTTTCATTTGACCTTTCTTTTTTAATTTTTAAAAAGCAATGCCTCTTGTTACATACATCTTATGGAACACATTGCATACAAAGAACTTTATGCATAGAAGAGGCAGGATTATATATGCTAAGCGTCGGACACTTTATGAAAGTGTTGTGTTTCACTGTCACACTAACTTTGTTCATATAAAAATAATTTCAGCATTTGCCTGTACACCTAAACACTGCAAGATGCTGAGTTCTGTAGTTAGGTGGACAAGAGCTAATGTGGTTACATTCACAAAAGGTAGAGAGGTAATGCTCATTGTTTAAACACAAGTTGTCATTAGATTAATATTGGAATATTTAAACAGGGTGTTCCATTTTGTGTTGTAAGTGTTCTAGCTTTTGCAAAGGCAACCCTCGTTTTACAAATTTGTATATTAAGATATTGAGGATACTGTATTAGTAAATATAAAACAGACAGTGATAGGAGACTGTAACAAAAATAACAAAACTCGGACTAGATTTCATTACAAGAAATTTATAACACATGGTGCCCTAATTCACTGGCAAGATAACCACAGAAAAAGTCCAAGAAAACTGTGACCCGTTAATTGCAATCTGAAATAATCTCTTGCCAAATATTCACATCCACCTACAGTATATTGTTCTGCACAATGACAGTTGAAATAACTCTAACCCCTGATATTACTGAATATCTTGCACTGTAACAATGTCATAGTTTCCTAGTGCACAAGACCCATTACCAATGCGTATTTCAAAAGACACAAGTGCACCATATTACAGCATTCATCAGACATGCTATACACTAGCCTTGGCAGGGTCAACGCAATGACTTAAGCTGCCCTTTTTTGTGTTGCTGCTGCATCAACATGTTGGTTTAGCAAATCCACTGCACATATTCAATGTGATGGTTGCTTCTGTTACTCCTAATGAATGAGCTGCACTTACACCCTGTCAGTACTGCTGGACCGGCCAGTAGCTAACTGCAGGGGTGGCAAAACTGGGTGGGCAGTGAGAAAGCACCAAACAGGGATGCCATCATCTTGCAGGCACAAGGAGGATCTCTAGCCAGCAAGGGCATTCGGTGATAACTTGGCGATGGTAGTTGGGCCCCCAGCCTTTTGCAAAGGACACTCGCACGGAGTTTTGATCAATGGGACCCTCGTGCAATAAGTCTGGGTGAACCGGAAGTTTTTGATAGAGTCGGGCTTTGTCATAATCAAAAATGTTGAGAATGTGTCCAGGGGGAAGCTTGTGGACAATGAAGTGGGATCGAGTATGTAATCCTCCATCTAGAGTTGGAGAGTTGATGAAGAGTGGCACATCTGCCCTGTTGTACACCCACACTCTCTCCCCTTCCTCATACAGCACCAAACCTGCAAATATAAATTATACAAATTATTCAAATATTTCACAATAAATGCAGTAATTATATAGTGTGTATAATATATTTTATTTATATATATATATATATATATATATATATATATATATATATATAAACCAACTGAAGCTGCTATAAGAAGGACAGACTTTGCAATGCAACTCTGGCCAGAGCCTAATGTCACTGGCTAAAAGAGATGACATCAAGTGAATTGATCAGTAAAACAACAATTTGCTTCAAACTAAACTTTGCCTACTACGAGACAACAACACTTACCAAGACCAATTTTTTCCCTGGTTCTTTTGACTTGTTCAGAAGGAGACGAGTGGGAATGGGCAGCAAGGGATGCTAGAGAAAGGCCATCCCCATGAGGAGTATCACCCATGATGTTTAGAGAAGGAGTGCATACTGGATACAGGCGACCCACACGCTCTCGCCCTTCCCAATAAGCTACTTGGCACCAAGGAATTGAACCTGAAATAAATGTTAAGATTTAGATACACATACGTACTATAAAAATACACATTTCTTAATATGTGTACAGTGGACAAATTACAATGAAATCATTTGTAGTTTTAAAAATTACAGTGTGTATATATTCCAAAAGTTCACATTACACAGCTTGGGAAGTGAAAACTCTTCTGGATTTTATAATTATGAGTAGGAACAATAGGTATGTCAAAGACCAGCAAAGGCCCAGACAGGCCCACCTACTATATATGAAGTACTGTACAGTAGAATAAACCTGTCCTTTGTATGAAGCAAGTATGTAATGTGTAAAACAAAATGACTAACATATTCAAATGGGGGCACACCAGAAGTTTATACAACTGAATCACTACCTTCCTATCCATTTTATCATTAACTTGTTTTGTAAATATCTTCAAGACGGTGTAAACTTATAAAAATATATAATGCCATCAGTCAAAATCCAGCTACAACACTCTGATCACAACCCAGAGACCCTCGAATATGTTCACTCGACTGAACAATAACGTCTGCTTAGTTTCCTTTCATCTGAGGCCTATAAGAATATAAGAACAAAGGTAACTGCAGAAGGCCTATTAGCCCATACGAGGCAGCTCCTATTTATAACCACCCAATCCCACTCATATACATGTCCAACCCACGCTTGGAACAATCGAGGGACCCCACCTCCACCACGGTGCGCAGTAATTGGTTCCACAAATCAACAACCCTGTTGCCGAACCAGTATTTACCCAAGTCTTTCCTAAATCTAAACTTATCCAATTTATGCCCATTGTTTTGTGTTCTGTCTTGTGTTGATACTTTTAATACTCTATCAATATCCCCCCTTTGTTACATACATTCATCCACTTATAAACCTCTATCATGTCACCCGCCTTTCCAGTGAATGCAATTTAAGCTTTGTTAATGCAATTTAAGCTTCATATGAAAGATTTCAAATTTGGGGAATTAACTTTGTCATCCTACGCTGGACACATTCAAGTGAATTTACATCCATTGTATAGTACTGCGACCAAAACTGAACTGCATAATCTAAATAGGGCCTAACCAGAGCAAGATATCGCTGAAGAACAACACCAGGTGTCTTGTTATTAACGCTTCGATTAATAAATCCCAGTGTCCTCTTTGCCTTATTACGAACATTCATGTATTGATCCTTTGGTTTTAAATTCTTACTAAATTCATAACTCCCAGATCCCGTTCACAATACGACTTCACAATCTCAACACCATCTAGCTTGCATCTTGTAACTATCATCATTACCTAAACTCAAAACTTTACATTTATCAGCATTAAACTGCATCTGCCAATCATTTGACCATTTCAAAACCCTATTTAGATCAACTTGAAGTGCTAGTGAGTCTTCTTCCGTGTTAATTTCCCTACCGATTTTTGTATCATCGGCAAATTTGCAAATGTTGCTACTCAAACCTGAATCTAAATCATTTATATATATATTATAAACAACAGAGGTCCCAGGACAGAGCCTTGAGGCACTCCACTTACAACATTTTCCCACTCTGACTTGATTCCATTTATACTAACTCTCTGTTTCCTTTGGTATAGCCATGCCCTAATCCAGCTTAATATAGCACCCCCAATACCATGGGCCCCTATCTTTTTAATCAGTCTTTCATGTGGCACTGTATCAAAAGCTTTGCTAAAGTCAAGGTACACAACATCACAATCCTTGCCACCACCACTACCACTTACCATAACTGCCTCAACTATGCTGAAATATAGCAAATTTGTTAAACATGAACGACCATTTGTAAAACCATGTCACGACTCATTTATTAATTTATGTTTTTTCAAGATGAAGACGAATTGTATTTGCAATTATCGATTCAAATAACTTTCCCACAATAGACGTTAGGCTAATTGGCCGATAGTTTGACGCAAGAGATCTATCTCCTTTCTTAAAAATTGGTACTGTACCACATTAGCAACCTTCCATGACTCTGGCACTCTGCTTGACTACTGATTTATTAAATATGGTAGACAGTGGTTCGCAAAGCTCCTCTTTGCATTCTTTAAGCACCCTGGCAAACACTTCATCCGGCCCTGGGGATTTGTTTGGTTTTAGTTTTACTATTTGTTTAATTACATCCTCCCTGGTAACTGCTAAACTAGTCAACCTGTCCTCGTCCCCACCCACATAGACTTGTTCATCTAGCAGTAACTAGGTACTTGGGAGATAGGTAATTGTTGTGGATTACATCTTGGTAACGGTCAATAGTTTGCCGTAAGAGGTCCTGGATAACCCTAACAGGTTCCGTGGCCCTCCGACTTTGGGATTCCAACCCCGTCATGCCCGAGAAAGAAATACCAAAGTTAATCCTGAAAATCAGGTGCCCATCTTTTGTTCGGCTCCTGCCATGGACGGTAGAAAACGTGTTAACGGTTAACTCAAGTAAAACTATGCAAAATCTATCAATATTATTAAATTATTATTTTTTTCATTGTGTTGGGGTACTGACAGTCAGTGTATATTTACATGTTAACCTTGTATCTAAGGTCCCCCCCCCTCCCCTCAGTTAAACTACTGATCATCTCCAGGAAACAACCCCACTGGGTTGTTTCCTGTATTTAAAATAAAGTAAATATTTACTGCTAAGTTGTTAAATCGATTATTATACGGTTGTTAAATAGATTATACCTGGAGAGAGTTGAGAGTTTTCTGTACTCGTCATTAGGTAATATAAAACGTCCCCAATTATTTCTGTCACTCCCGTGATTCGAACCAAGAATTCACATTGAGAGTCTACAACAAACCCGCCTGTACTATTTTAATCCCTGTTTTCTCCATATGCAAATAAATATGTACCCAGAAGTTTGGTAACTTCGCCCCTTTAAGATGGGGGTTATCTTGAGATGATTTCGGGGTTTAGTGTCCCCGCGGCCCGGTCCTCGACCAGGCCTCCACCCCCAGGCAGCAGCCCGTGACAGCTGACTAACTCTCAGGTACCTATTTACTGCTAGGTAACAGGGGTGTCAAGGTGAAAGAAACTCTGTCCAGTGTTTCTCGCCGGCGCCCGGGATCGAACCCGGGACCACGCGTGCAATGTTCTGTCCGCTCAGCCACCGGCTCCGGGAGGGGGGGGGGGAGGACCTCGATAAAAATTATAATCTTTACTTAATAATGCACTAATACACATCCTGTGAATGACAGTGAAAAATCTGATACAAGTCACTGTGTCAGGGGACAGGCAGCCACAGTGTATTTATGCACGTTTGGCTTATATATATCCCCCCCCCCAAGGTCAAACTACTGACCCTCCTCCCAGGATGCTACCCTGCAACAAACTAACTCCTGGGTACCTACTTACTGCTAGGAGAACAGGGCATTAAGTGATAGGAAATGTGCCCAACCATTTCTGTTCTGGCCGGAATTCTCGATTCTGTGTTGAGAACTAACCCGACTGTACTAATGGGACCTGGTATACGAGGTCCCATTAGTACATCAAACTGAAACCGAAAATTCGTCGAGGTAAGGAAGTTACACCACTTACAAGTTAGTTACCACTTGTTACAACTCACTCACACACACACACACACACACACACACACACACACAGACCCGGCAAAGAAATTCCGTTGACCTGAGACAGTTCAATCAACATTAGCTATTCTATTGATAGAGCCCAATAGACTCAGGAATCTGTACACCTGTTGATTGACGGTTGAGAGGCGGGACCAAAGAGCCAGAGCTCAACCTCCGCAAACACAACTAGGTGAGTACACACACACACACACACACACACACACACACACACACACACACACACACACACACACACACACACACACACACACACACACACACAGTCTTAGCACTATCAAATTAACATTCTCATCATGACCTCAAGAGGTTCTTAACAACTCCAAGTTTAATATGAACCTCATGGGTGAGTGGTACAAGATTGTCTTCATTACATGATTGCACCATGCAGGTACTGAACCCCAATCATCTATGAAATTTACGTTTGTCATGAGTTAGTTACATTATTTTGAATTTATCTATCATGCATCCTGTGAGAGGTAGTGCACACACACACACACACTTATGATAAAATTTAAACTTTTATCAAGTTCCATCAGTAATGTAAGGTGCGAGTATAATTTTGGTTGACAGTTTACATTTGGTAGGGTTTTCAACGTCAGGTGACGCTAACGCAAACTTATAACCAAACCTACGCCAAACAGAAGTAACATCTGTTGACCAATCCACACACTAGAAAATGAAGGGACGACGACGTTTCAGTCCGTCCTGGACCGTTCTCAAGTCGATTGTGAAGTAACATCTGTTTGCTAATTTTATGGATAACCATATTAATATGCTTCTTCGTGCAGGTTAGCATGATGATAGATGGAATAGCTAGTGTTGATTGAACTGTCTCAGGTCTACAGAATTTCCTTGCAGGGTCTGTATATTATTGTTCTCAGATTATTTGCAATCCAATGTTATGGTCCAACTCTATGAACGCATATTCTTTGCCTAACTTGCTTCTATCATGCATTTGGGTACACCTGTTTACTCCTATAATTACAGGATTAGATTATTCATAAGTGGATGTACATTACAGGAATGTACTGTCTCAGGATTGGAATGGCAAATAATTCGGTCTGAAGGGTCGACTTCCCACTCAAAATATGCACAATCGACTTGGAGAATGGTCCAGGACGGACCGAAACGTCGTCGTCCCTTCATTTTCTAGTGTGTGATTTGGTCAACATTACAGGAATTAAATTTTTTAGCAGATTTATTCCGTTTGGTTTGGTATTGCAAATAATTCGGTCTGAAGGGTCGACTTCCCACTCAAAATATGCGTCATCACTCATTGTCACCACTGCTGCACTTCCATCAGTATCAGTGGGTTTGAGACGAGCTAAGGCGCTGTACTTTACCCCAAGTCAGCCTAGACTTGGGCGAGAAGGGAACAATTCCAATTTCGAAGGGGGTTATCTCCCACGGTACGTGCAGA